ACTACTACTCTTCTCTCTCTCTCTCTCTCTCTCTCTCTCTCTCTCTCTCTCTCAAAGAGATCTGCAGAAATTCGATCGTAAAATGAAAAGGAAAAAAAAAGATACTTCCTTACGTCAGACTTGGTTACAACCGTAACGCTGCGAGAACCCGCTCCGAGACCCACAAAACCCACGGCCCCGCAGGACCCCGCAAGGTTCACACAGGGTACACCTCGCGCGCGTACATTTCACATACACACGCACGCACACCAGAAAACGAATTCCTCTCTCTTTCTCGCCGTTAAGTCGTTCAGCCGGCTGTGCCTGTGCCTGGCCTTCCTTCCTTCCTCTCTACCGCCGCCACCTTATGCCATCGGGGCACCGAAGAGGAGAGCCCTCCTTCGGGCCGGCAGTTTCGTGTGTTACACCGTGGTGTGTGCACGGGGAACACCACGCGTATCGCGGCGGCCGCTTCACGGCACGAGACCGTTATCCAACGACGGCGACGATTTTCCCGCGGGTACGTCGAACCCGTCGCGCACATCGGGGAAACCGGTGACTTCGAGAGCTCGTCGAAATCGTGAAATTCGCGCGAATTTCGTGCGCCCGTCTGGACTCTCGATGGTGACCTGACGACGATGGCGAGTCACGCCGCCCGTCTGGACTCGTGAGCCCCGCCGCTAGACCCGAGGACGAGAGTACTCGAAGCGAACGAAAGTGAGTACGGTCCTTCTCTTCCGAGCACGTTTTCTCGCGGTTCACACGCAGTTCGTGTGCTCGAGGAACAGGGGAAGATGAGGAAGTATCGGAGTACGAACGCGATTTCCCTTGCGCCCGCTCGTTTTATCTTCCTTTTTATTTTCATTTTTCACTTGTGTAGCTCGTGTAACGTACATTCAAACGAATTTGCAGATGTGTATCATGTATTAATATTTTATGTTGGATTAATTTATTATCAATGAGAATTGACCGGTAACTTGTTCTTTTACATGAATTTTCATTCCGTTATATCATTATTATAACATAAAGCAGCTTACTTCTACGGTGATTTCTCGCGAGGATTTCAAATTAAAAATTCAGGGGAAAAAACGATAACTTTGTATTTTATCGCACTTGTTTCAGTAGCGAAAGTTACTAGTGATGTTATCTAATAATCTAGAAAAAATTCGAGGACTTAACCGCGTCTCGGGCAAATCCTCTTTTTCCGCGTGACCTGCGGTTCGATGTATCAATTGCAAATTGTACCATTGGCGTCTGACGTGACACGAGTCACGAGGAGAAAATCACGACCGCATCTCGCGTGCTTATTAAGAGAACATACAGATCGTCGCAGATGTTACGATGTTATGAATGCGTCCTAGATGCGTCGCGATCCACAGATTCATGTAATGTCACTTTCAGCAAATTACCCGAGTCGTTCACTTCGCACCGTTTGTCCATTGTGATGTATCATTTGTTATACAAAGTACATGCTACTTCAATCGCGGAGGAAAGACACAATTCTATTCCTTGTTACAATCTTATTTTACATCATAATTTCAATTATGTTCAACAAATAAATTAAAAGCCCTTCATGATTAATTAGATAAAATCTCTGAATTGATTTTTTTGTTTCAATATCAAAACTGCAGGTGAAGTCATAACAAGAACTTGTACTTTACGTTATATATTTTAAATAAATATTTGAATTATTTAAACGATATTTATTTTTGCTTATATGCGCCTTATACATACGCCTTATACATACTTATTGTTTATTTTAAACAATTACGAGCTTGTTTGTATTTATCATAACAAGAAATTCAAAATTTCTTTTTTCTGTTAATCAATTAAAATATTGTGATTTTAGAATTAAAACTGACTGGAAGCGTGCAATATTCGTTAAATTAAAATACATTTTAAAAGAATAATTGTGTATTTTAATAATAATTATAATAATTTAATTCAGTTATACAATACTTAACAGCGTATTATCATTATAATTCTGAATACTGTCTAATTATGATTATTATTAATGTAACATTAAATAAAATCTATTAAAAATTTATCGAAAGCTTTGCGGCCACAATACTTTTTGATAGAATGCAAATGATGAGGATGTTTTGAAAGACGCAATAATATATCGTGAAAAGAGTTAAGAGATTGCTTCGATAGAAGTGACTGAATCGCCGTCCGCTTTAAGCGAAGGTTAACGGTTTTTAAACACTTTGATGAAGATGTCATTGGTCTACCAAGGACGGTTTTACATCGTCGTGCTACTGCATTTTAAGCACGACTCGAATTTATCGAAGGACATTGACGACTACAATATCATCCTCAATGTTATATCCGAGTCTCGGTCTTTACTCGGTGTTATTTTTACAGAGGACAAAAGTTTCCTCGGTCAGTTTGAAGAATCGATTCCCTCCTTAAATATACATTTGTAAAGTAACATTAAATTTTATACGCGTTCCTGGACTAGTAAAAAAATATTAGAACAATTTAGAATTTGTAATATTAGATATTAGAAAATATTAGAAATTATTAGAAAATGATATCTTTTTATATACATATACTTTTAAATAAATTTGCTGTTGTGCAATGCACGTATTCTCGTCGGTTTTTACGCAAGTCGAGGCAAACTCGGCGCCCGTTAAGTGGATCGTAAAACTTTCTGCAATTGACACCGGAGTTCCGCGTAAATGACAGTGGAGAACCCGCTGAATTACCTTCCTGAGAAGTGGCGTCGCCAGCGGTGGCAACAAAAGCGAAAATTCGGTCGATTCATTGTTGTCTGCCGGATCATATTCGCCGGGGCCACGCCGGATTGTGCTTCGTGGGACCATCGGATTTCTTTCGACGCGTCGCACCACCTCGCTCGGCGGGCTCGAAAAGGAAGCGGGAGAAAGCGGACCTTCCTTCTTTTTTAAGACAAAGGCAGAAATCCGATCTCCGGCCGCCGTGAAAGTGACAATTAAACCATTTTAGATGACGCTCCGATCTGTCTATGAATAACAATGAACGGGGAATGAAATATGGGCGTGTGTTTAGGAGTGCTTGTGCTCTCCCGCAGAAGCGGAGCGAGCCGGATGAGGAAACCGCCTGCGCTTTTAGTCTCGCCTTTACGCAACGCCGCCTCGGCCGTTTTTACATTTACGCTACTAAGGCACTTCGATCGCACTAACGTTACTTTGGCTTTAAACGGAGACTTAAATGTGTGCCTGGCTTTATTTATTTAGAAGGAGAACGGTAAAGAGAGATACATGTTTAAGTTTCGCTTAAAGCCAAAGTAACGTTGGTGGTAACTGGTAATCGGGCCTAAATGTACGGTGATTTGCCTCGGAACGCTGATCAACTTTATCCAACTCTACATTTCGACCGAAACCGGGGAGAACCGATACATACGCGAGGACCAGACCTGAACGATCGTAAATCGCGATGGGCGATAAACGATCGTAAAAAATAATTGCGGATAATTATGGGTAACAGTCCCGAATAAAATGTGGCCAATATATACTTTCACCTGTACCGCGAGAGACTCTGAGGCAAAAAAACTGAGTAAGGGTGCTGTGAAGATTTGAGCTTTCGCTTCTATAAATAAGAGGTCACATGTAGAAAGTGCCGCGTAAGCGTGTATCATCTGGGATATCGTATCTGCGGCTCGTTACAACGCAAACAGTCGTGACAAATTAAAATTAAAATAGAAAAATAGAAAAAAAGGGAAGAAAGAGCGAGAGGTGGAAGGGGGAAGGATGATGTCGCTTTCGATCGCACGAACGCGAGGCTAATAGACGAGACTGTTATCGCTGATGCTACTAAAGATCTCGCGATCGTGTATCACCGTGTGTATCATCGCGAAAACTGGCACGCGAGTAATTGTACCGAGACCGAAGAAACGCGTGGGCAGGACCCGAGCGTGTCTGTTTCCCAGAAAGTGTGCATTTAGCGGGTATGAGAGATCACGAGAGCCCATTGATGGAAAGAAGGAGAACCGGGACAGTCGCGAGGCGGAGAAAAAAGCGAGACTTATGCGTCTTTCCCGCGATCTAATTGATTAATAGAGGAAGAATTGATGCATCTCTCTGCTCTTTCTTTCACACACACACACACACACACACACACACACACACACACACACACACTCGT